GTTTGGGGGCATGGGGATAAGGATGTTCCAACTTTTGGGAGTTAACTGTAGGGTCTTAGGATTTTTGGGATTTGGGGGGTTTAGGGTTTTGCAGCTTGTTGGGTCTATGGCTTCAGGTTTTGAAAGATCGTGTCATCTCGTGGGCGCTCTTGGAGTGCCCAAACTTTCCAAGGGTCCGCACAGGCAAACTCCTGGGTTTAGGGTTTAGGGTTTAGAAGGGGTTTAGAGGGTGTAGGGTCCTGCCTATGCAAAGCTCCGATCGGCGGTTTTGTCTCTGGGGTTAGCGTCGGAGGTTTTGGAAGTTCAAAGCTGGATAGGAAGACGTCTTCACACCTGTCCCCGAACTTCAGCACTGGCGACATGCGGAGACCCAAGAAAGTAGGAGGCAGTAAGCCACGCCGCTTGAAGCTGATATGTAGGCAGCCGCTGAAGTCGGGGTCTCCTTCCCTGCATTCAATGCAGGAAGTCTCTTCACCCCTCAGAACGACGCTGAGATGCAAAGTATCGCGAGGCGCATGCTGGACTCAGGCTTCGGTCGATTGAGGCTTGGCATGCACCAGCCCTGCTTGAAGCAGTCCAACCCCCCCCCATTGGGGAGGGATGGGGCCTGAACAAGATTAAAGGACTCAGATTAAATGTGCATCCTGCAAAAGAAGCACCCAAGACATTGCAGAATCATGCGTCACGCAGACAGCTGACTTTGAGAGCTTCTCTCCATCTTCTTGCAGCAGCATGAAGTAATTTTTTTTGGTTTGCTTAACCTCCATTGCTGCTGAAAGAGGGGAACACAGTGACACGTGGCGTGACCGGCGCCGGGGGTTTGGATTGGCAGACGTCTTCACACCTGTCCCCGAACTTCAGCACTGGCGACATGCGGAGACCCAAGAAAGTAGGAGGCAGTAAGCCACGCCGCTTGAAGCTGATATGTAGGCAGCCGCTGAAGTCGGGGTCTCCTTCCCTGCATTCAATGCAGGAAGTCTCTTCACCCCTCAGAACGACGCTGAGATGCAAAGTATCGCGAGGCGCATGCTGGACTCAGGCTTCGGTCGATTGAGGCTTGGCATGCACCAGCCCTGCTTGAAGCAGTCCAACCCCCCCCCATTGGGGAGGGATGGGGCCTGAACAAGATTAAAGGACTCAGATTAAATGTGCATCCTGCAAAAGAAGCACCCAAGACATTGCAGAATCATGCGTCACGCAGACAGCTGACTTTGAGAGCTTCTCTCCATCTTCTTGCAGCAGCATGAAGTAATTTTTTTGGTTTGCTTAACCTCCATTGCTGCTGAAAGAGGGGAACACAGTGACACGTGGCGTGACCGGTGCCGGGGGTTTGGATTGGCAGACGTCTTCACACCTGTCCCCGAACTTCAGCACCGGCTGCGGGAAGAAGTAAGCATCATCACGCTCGACACCCTTTAAAGCTGATATGAGGCAGTCGCTGAAGTCGGGGTCTCCTTCACTGCATTCAATGCAGGAAGGCAGGAAGTCTCTTCACCCTCAGAACGAGGCTGAGATGTAAAGTATGGCGAGGCGCACGAGCTTTTCTGATGCAGCGTCATTCAGAAACAACGGTTTTGAGAGCTTCTCTGTCTATCTTCTTGCAGCAGCACGGAGTTTTTGCATGGGTTGTTTTTGCATGGGTTTGTTTATCCCATTGCTGCCGAAAGAGGGAACACAGGGACACGTCGCGTGACAGGTGTCGGAGGGTCAAATGGATAGGAAAACGTCTTCACACCTGTGGCCTCCCCGAACTTCAGCACCAAGCAGATGCGAAATACCAAGGAAGCAGTAAGCATCATCACGCTCGACGCCCCAGCTGATATGTAGGCAGGCGTTGAAGTCCGGGTCTCCTTCCCTGCTTTCAATGTAGGAAGTCGATTCACCCGCGGCCCGCGGATGTCTTAAGAATCTCTACGCCCTCTGGCGAGGCTCAGCCCCTCCCACATGAGAGGAGACGGGCTGGGAAACATTCACAAGATTACTTCGAATGCACGTCCTGCAACAAGCACAGGCTCATGCAAAGCCAAAATCATGCAAGACACGCTCTATCAGATCAATCCCGACTCGACCTATCTTCCATCCTTGTAGCCGTGATCGAACAACGCAGAAACCCAACTCTACAACAAACTAAAGGGAATTAAACCTTGACCAGGTTGAAGGTACCAGTTTTTGGTGGTGCTCAATGTCGAGGACGTTCAGGTTCTTGGCTGGCTTGGGGTTCAGTAGGGCCTTGGGCCTTTGGTTGGTGATAACCATCCTCCGTGGCTAGGGTTTAGGGTTTAGGGTTTAGGGTTTAGGGTTTAGGGTTTAGGGTTTAGGGTTTAGGGTTTAGGGTTTAGGGTTTAGGGTTTAGGGGCTAGGGTGGTAAAAGCTGATAGCTGCTGCGCACAACGGCCCTCCACCGTACATGAATTTCCCGGGTATACTGATGGTGCATATGTACCCTACATTGGAGTAGACCCTGGAAAAAAGCATATACTTTTTAGGTATAAGTAGCTATAGTAGGAACCCGGGACCCAACGAAGTATTAGAGTATAGTACTCCAAGACCCAGGCGTAAGTGGCCTTTCGGGAGGCTTTTCAGTTTGGGGTGCAAGGGCTTCTGCCATCCGGCGACAGTTCTGCGCTTCAAGCAGGCCGTAATCCTTACTAACCCAAAATCCAAGGAAATAAAAATTGAAACTTTCAGAATAGCCTACCTTATAAGAAGCCCAAAAGTTGAAAAGTTGGGTTTTGAGCCAGTAAGAATCCAGGGGAGGGCATATGTCTTTCAGTTTCAGTGTTTCGGCTCCGGCTCTTGGGGTGACGGGGGGAGTTTCGGTTTCACTTTCAGCTGCAGCCCTAAACCCTAAACCCTAAACCCTAAACCCTAAACCCTAAACCGGGGGGCGGTTGAGGTTCGAGAAGTTATACCCTTCCCCCCGGGGTTTTGACGTCAGGACCGCACAGGACCAAGGCGACAGTTCTACCTGCAACAACACACCGCGACATGCGGATCCCCTGAGCTATGCTCCCCCTTGAACCTTAATACAAACAAAACCTGACAGAGCGTGCAAATCGGGCGCAAAATGAAAAGCAGACAGTCAGACAGTCAGACGGTCAGACAGTCAGACAGTCAGACTGTCAGAGAGTCAGCCATTTTCTTTTGGAGGAGACTTGCGTGCTCACGGGTCTCGTACCCAAGTACAGTAGAAAAGTGAATTTCCGCTGAAGTTGGGTAGTCATAAAGCTTTTCGGACTATGTGTTTGAGTGTCTGCGCAGCCTAAAGTGTCTGAGCGTCTGACTGGCTGAACGTCTGCAGGTCCTATATCTCTCACTGTCTGAGTGTCTGACTGTCTTCTCTTTCTAATGTGTGTGAGTGTCTGACTGTCTCAGTGTCTGAGCAGTCCAAAGTGTATGAGAGTCTGACTATCTGAATGTATGCAGGTCCCATGTCTGACTGTCTGAGTGACTTGTTGTGAGCCAAGCTGCTAGCCCGACGTGAATGTGTGCAGAGAGTTAAGCAGTCAGACAGTTAGACTTTTCAAGTCTAGAACACGCAAGCCGACCTGTTCATGTCTAAATGTCTGAGTGTCTGAGCGTCTGAGACAGTAAGACTCAGTAAGACTCTTCGAATCCGGAATACACAGACCAGCAAGTCGGACAGGCAGACAGTCAGACAGTCAGACTCTCGAAGTCCAGCATACGCTGACCGAGATCAGACACTCAGACAGTCAGACTCTTTAAAGACCAGCTCGCGTCTGAATGTCAGACAGTCAGACTTTCTAAGACCAGCTCACGTCTGAATGTCAGAATTAGCGGACCAAGAAGGCAGACAGTCAAACAGTCAGACAGTCAAACTCTTCAAGACCAACTCACGTCCGAGGGTCCGAATGTCTGAGTGTCTGAGTGTCTGCTGCACGGAAACGACCCCCGTCAGAATCTTTAAGACCAGCTCGCGTCTGAATGTCTGAAGTAGCGGACCAAGAAGGCAGACAGCCAGACACTCAGACAGTCAAACTATTCAAGACCAACTCACGTCCGAGGGTCCGAATAAGACCAGCTCGCGTCTGAATATCTGACTTAGCGGACCAAGAAGGCAGACAGTCAGACACTCAGACAGTCAAACTCTTCAAGTCTGAGTGTCTGACTGTCTGACTGTCTGCTGCGCGGAATCGAACCCCCTCCGCGCCCCCAATCTAAAACCTTTAAATTTCCTCTTGGGTTTTATGCAAACAAAAATTAAAAACTGATTCCCAAGGGGGATATAGTGAGTACGTGCCAGGCGAAGCCGTCCAAGAGTCCGCGAGGGCGCGTCCAAGACACATTTTCGAAAGGACAGAGCGATCACAGCCGGGCAAAAGGCGCAAAAGACCGAGGCGGCTAAGCACAATCTCTGCCCAAAGCAGGGCCGGCCAAAATGGGGCAAAGGCGGGACAGAAACTAAATCATAGATACCTAGATACCCAAAGAAAACTGCACTTGAGTTCTGGGAGTACCTCGACACTGGTTATATCGTTCAATGCATGAGGGTTTGGAGCTTAGGGTTAGCATGGGTTAGCACTAAACCCTAAACCCTAAACCCTGAACCCTGAAATTAGATACTAATCAGGCGGAGTCAGGTCGGAGGCTTGGCCAAAAGACTGGCCGAAGCCTGGGTGCTGCTACCAGCAACGGGCGGCGGACTCTTGAGACAATGGCACACCATTGTAGAACTGTGGTTTGCTATGCATCGGCATCATCCTTGTTCGTGCTGACCCCGCCGCCGCCCGAAAGGCTCACAAACTGTAGAATCTTGCGTCTCTGGCTTAAATGCCGTGCCAACGACGCTGGGATAGCTAGGAGCTCTCTCTCAGAGTGTCCAGCAGCTGAAGCAAGCCATCTCGAATCTGAGGCCGACATCTCCGGGCAACTGTGGTCAGGAGGCATGTGAAGTTCATCGTGGTCGCACGCAGGCTACGCTGCAGCTGCAGAAGGTCGTCCTCTGCCACCGCTTCTGCGGCGCTTGCACCCCCTGGTGGTCCTTGCCGGGCTTGCCGAGCGTACTGCAGCTCCTCGGCTAAGAGGTCGAAGATCGGCCTGACAACCCACTCAATGCACTCTTGATTCGAACCTATCGGACAAGACCGCATCTTCAAGCCTACGCATGAAGCCCTGAACTTCCGCCAGGTTGTTCGCCCCGCTGCCTGGCTTCTTCGAGTCGAACCCAGATGTGCTCCTCGAGCAATCTCCACGCCACCCGCAGCAGATCGAGCAGGGTGATCGAGCGCAGCAGCAGGCGGTCCTCCCTGGTGAGCTTGCGCTCGCGAGGATGGGGCCCGTGGCAGAATTCACAGCTCCGTCCCGCTGTGCATTCACCTTGAGCGAAGTGCACACATCGTCGATAGCACAAATGCGGATGGCCCAAGCTCCCGCAGTTCCTGGGAAAGGGATTTTGCAGATGGTCTCCACTGGGAGGTTCCAGTGCCGGTTCTGGTGCCGATGGCACAGGAGCACTGTGAACCGGTGCAAAGCAGCGGGGTTCGCTGGAGGAGCGTTGCATTCTGGCACTCGCAGAAAGCGGAGCAGAGAACTGAAGGAAGGTGAACCGCAACGTGATCTCCATCTCCTCTGACTCCTCCTCCTCTTCATCCCCCATGGCGTTATGTACAACGACTGTTAAGTGATGTTAAGTGGCACGAAACCCAACTGTGGCGTGGCGAACACTGAAACAGCAGGTTGCAGACAGCAGCACAGAGTCAAAAGCCTGCACCTCACATGCCTCAGCTCAACACCTGCCTTGAACACATGTCCCGAGAATCCAGAAGCACACTTGGAAACTTGACGTTTGGAAAGCCTGTTGGGACCTAAACAGTTGGACTTGTGCCCCGGAATTGGGAGCGGCTCGGGAATCACTCAAAACCCTCCCCCCCCCCCCCCCCCTCCCCCCAAGACTTGCGCAGGAAGTTTCCTGTCTGTCCATTGCGGATGTTGCTTCTGCGCTCTACATCCGCGAGTTTGTGAATCCCTGGGCTGAGGTTGCCTCGAGATGAGGGTTGCTTCCCGCACGTGGACACGAGGATGTTCCATTTAAGGGACACGAGGATATTGCATTTCAGGGAAGCCAAAGCTCGAATGATGTCTGACATTGACATTGACATGTGCTGGGGTCACAACTGCCAGAGTTGCCATTGTCGTTGCCTTTCCCCTTTCCTCGGCCCAGGCATAGATGGGGATGCACTGCCAGCTGAGTTTGGCAGACATAGCTGGAATAACTGTTCTCACACGCCTTCCTGCAGAAACCTACCCTGTCAACAACACAGAATCACATGCTCCAATGCCTCGTGGCTGCTAAGCTTCCCATGCCCTTGATTAGGGAACATACTTCGAACAATGTACGGGACCTTGTTGTAAGTTGAGGTTGATTGCTTATATAAGGGGTGTTGAGGTCTCTAGTGTGCTGGCAAGTCGACAGCCACAAACATCAAGTGCAAACGAGCCAGGGCCAACTTTAGGAAATGGCCCCCTGTTCAAGGCGTAAAGAAATCCTTGCAGTATGGTGCGAAGCCTCAGTCGAAACTACACACACATACACACATCTGCGGCAACTGCCAGACTGCCATTCACACGTGATATCCTTTGGGATGCTCCCCCTTATGCTGGCAGTCCTTCATAGGGGTTATAATGGGGTGGGGGGTATTACAAACCCCATCATAAGGAGTCCCAGGTGCCCTTCTGGAGCAGCAGCGTAAACGGGTTGACGATCTTTTCCTTCTTCTTTGAGGCTTTGCCGTCCTTCATGCCTTTTCTCACTGAGGGGGTTCGGGATGGTCAGGGTTTAGGGCTTAGGGCTTAGTAGTTAGTAGGGCTTAGGGCTTAGGGCTTAGGGCTTAGGGCTTAGGGCTTAGGGTTTAGGGCTTAGGGTCAGGGTTTAGGGTTAAGGCCCAGAGCCCCCAGCCCCCAGCCCCCGCCCCACCCCCCGCCCCCCCCTCCCCCTCCCCCCCTAACCCTAAACCCAAAACCCAAAACCCTAAACCCTAAACCGGCGGGACGGAGCTCCAGTCCCGCAGGCAGCTGCGTGCTGCGCGGTGGACCCGGCAAGTCGCTGAACCCCTCAGGTCGCCCTAGAATGAGATACCCCAAACCTTCGGGCAAAACATGGCAACCTCGTTTTGGGAGGTCTCCCGAAAGGGCACCTCCGGCCGTGGTCGTTTCTTGTGGACCCGAGGCGCCCAGAACCGGTTCAGGCAGGCGGCCGAGGCTTTTCTTGCATTTGTTCACGCTTGCCGGCCCTGCCTGAAAGCAGCCCCCATCCCAAACATCTGACTTCAGGCCCTTCCAAGCAAGTGATCCAGATCCCCAACCAGGATGCAGCATCGCCAAGGGCGAAGGCGGCAGCCAGCCCCAATCCCAAACCTCTTACTTTGTCGCCCTCCCAGAAAGCATCACAAGGCCACCACGCCTCCCACCTCCCAAACAAGGCCTTCCAGATGTAGCATCAGCAAGGCGAAGGCGACAACAACTCCCCATCCAAAACCTCTCACTTCAGGCCCTTCCAAGCAAGTTTTCCAAATCCCCAACCAGGATGCAGCATCGCTAAGAGCGAAGGCGGCAGCCAACCCCAATCTCAAACCTCTGACTTTTTGGCCCTCCCAGCCCTCGAATGATGGACATCATCCCTTGCAACGCCAAGGGGATGCGAACTTCAGGGTAATTGATCTGCATCGATGCCGAGCTTCTGGACCCAACCATTAGAAAAGAGATAAATAACCAAAGCACGCTCAGAGTTCAAAGGAACCCCAAGCCCGTGGGGCGGTCGCCTGGGTGCTTTCAGCACCAGTGCGCCCACTCATTGAGACATCCTAAACCCTAAACCATAAACCCTAAACCCCAAATCCCCCCCCCTCCCCTGCAAAAAGGCACCCTTCTTAGGGCAAGGCCAGGATTCCCTTGGCAGCCTCCAAGCCCCAATATCCCTGTTTGATAGATCCATGATAGCTTCGTTCGCATAAACCCTTCCTTTTATTGAAAACATGAACCCTTACTATAACCTTGCACCCTGGGAGACGTATTCTCTCAATGCCATAGCAAGGGCCAGCGTCCTGGGGATTGACCCCTGGGGCTGCGGTGCTGAATTGGATCCTGCCGCCTGCAGCCCCTAAAGCCATAAGGATCCTTGATTACCCATACCCACATAAGTGTACTAGTACTTGCCTCATACCCTCGGTACGGAGAACGTCTCGTAGAGTTGCTTGACTACTGGTTTTGGCAAGGCGTCAACACTCCATCATCAAGGCCCTGCTATGGAGCACTTTCCTCTTGGGGCCCAAATATTTCATTCATTAGGGTGTTGGGGATTTTTATAGTAGAGTTATATAGGACCATAAGGTCATACTACTAGAAAATGCCGACCCCCTATGTTACCCGCTGAGCCTGCTTTGGTCCAATCACCCCACCCGTCTTCTTCATCGTCTTCTTCCTTCTCCTCCTCCTTACCTGCTCTGGAAATGACGTTTAGGACCTATACAAATCAAATCGCTAATGGCTTTGGAAGGATTATATAGGGGAATAAGGGCACAAAAACGAACTAGAATGTTCAAACCAACCCTGTACAGGTGAGGTTCTCAAGTGTAGGTCAGTGCTTCAGGGCTTTTGGCATCAGGTTGCTTTGCGCGTTGGCTAAGCCTGTCGCGTTGAACAGCAGCTTGGACGGATAGATGGGGTTTTCGGGGAACAAGGTGATCCTCACAGCCCTGGCAGCCTTTCTTCGTCCAGTCTCCCCAAGCGTCATCAGAGTCCTCCGGCGACCATCTGAGCCCCCCAAACCCAAACATCACAACGCTCCAAACCCGACAATGCCCTGATGTGGTGAACTGGTGAACTTCTCTTGAGTTTGCGACATTTGCGACAAGGACGACGCCTGCCACTACTACGACTATAGCTAGCTATGACTACGACGTCCGAGGACCCTCTGGTCTCTGCTTCTTGTCTGGAGGGCCATCTCGTCTGTTATCTGTCACTGAGTTTAGGGGGTGCCAGCTCACGATGTATACTTTTTACTTGCTGACGCGGCGTGGTCCTACGACTTCAGAGCTGACAGCGAACAACACCACCAGCAACCCTGCAGCAGACCCTAAACCCTAAACACGAACCCTAAACCCTAAACCCTGAAACCCTCAATCCGGCTCCTCGGCATCTTTCTCGGCCTGGCCTTCCACAGTCTCACCTTCACCTTCGACCCAGAAAACCATAAGGGTTTAGGGTTTAAGGTTTCGGGGTTTAGGGTTTAGGGCTAGACTGTGTGACGTTACCCACCACCAACCACAGGGCATGAGAAAGACCTCCTGGCCTGCGCCACTGGCCGGCGCCTCCTTGTTTCAGGGTTTAGAGTGTAGGAGTGCTGTTGGTTTTGCGGCTTGAGGTGGTTGAACAGTTCGGTTCATGCAGGTGAGCCTCAATGCAACGCTCGAGCTTCGGGCGGAAACGCTGGCGACAGGCTATCTACCCCCACATCCTGAGTGAGTTGCTCGAATCTGCTATAACCTGCTGCCCCGCGCTATCCATGTATGATCGGTGCTGCAGTCTCAAACCATGAAGAAAAGCAACTCCAGCCTAAGCGTTCATGGTACCCCCACCTTAATCAACCACCCCTAACCCCGCAAAAGGCCCAAATAAGGCTTTCAGGGCTACTTGAACCGTACTCCGGGTTGGGCGTCGTTAAGTTATCTTTGGCCCCCTATTGAACAAAGTGCATCAACTTTTTTGTCATTCTCTCTAAGTCTTTCTTTTGACCCGCCCCCCCTCCTCTTCATGTTGACGCCCCCCCCCCCCCTCTCCAATTTGGCCTTACTGGTGGGAATGGCGAGAATGGTGGATGATGGTGGATAATGGTGGGAACGGGCGGCTTCTGGTGGGTGTGGGTATGAGTATTGCTGGGTATTGGTGGGTGCTGGTGGGTAAGGGTGGAAATGTGGGCAGGGAGTGACAAGGGCATGTGGGTGGGTGTGGGAATGGCGATTAATGGTGGGCGATGGCGGGGTAATGGTGGACATGTGGATAATGGTGGGCGATGGTAGGCAACGGCGGGTAATGGTAAGAACAGTGGGTAATGGTGGAAATGGTGGGTAATGGTGGGTAGTGGTGGGTAATGGTGGGAAATGGTGGGTAATGGTGGGTAGTGGTGGGTAATGGTAGGAAATGGTGGGTAATGGCGGGTAATGGGTAAGTTTGGTGGGAATGGTGGGGTGGGTCATCGTGGGAATGCCGGATATGCCGGGAAATGGTAGGTATTCTCACGTCCCCCACAGTTACCGCTGCACATGACTGTTCGCATCACCCTCACTCGAATACTTCCCAGTCTTATGGTTCGAGGCTTGCCATCCTTCCTCCTCCACTGTCTGTATTTGATTTACAATATACATACCCTATATACATACATGATGTGAGTACTTACTTGTGCTCTCTTTGCACTTCCACAGGAGGCAAGCCCTACAAACACAGGCATATCCCCATGGGATTTAAGGTTTAGGGGGTTATGCCCCAAGCTCTTCAGGGTTGTAACGCTCTAATCCTACAGGCAACTCTTGAATCTTAAACCCTAAATCTATAACCCTGTAGGATCTACACCCTAGAGGCGGGCTGATCCCGTGAGGGTTTTAGAGATACACCCTGAAAAGCCCTAAACCCCTAAACCCTATAGGGCTTCATGGTTTCAAAAACCTAGGGTCTAGGCAACTATACCTTCAGCGCCATAGGCTTAAAACCTTTGAACCTTTTAGAGCCCAATTGGGTTTCGGGTTCTGAACCTAAACGGTTTAGGGTCAAGGTGTAAATGCCTAAGCCTTAAACCCTTAAGAACTAAACTCTATGGCCTTAGGTTTGAATGCTCAAATCTGAAACCCTAAACCTTCAAACCTTAACCCCCTTAAACCTCGGGCTTTAAGGTTGAGGATGTAGGTCTAATTGCCGGCTGAGGCTTGAATGCCTAAATCTTAAATCCCTCACGATAGAGTTTAAAAAGGTTAAGGACTGAAATTGAATTGCCTAACCTTGAAACCCTATGTTAAAAGGTTTACGGTTTGAGGTTTAAGCCTAAACCCTATAGGCTTTAAGGCTTAGGCACTAAAGCCTTAAACCCTATAGAGTTTCGGGCCTTCTCTTTCAAACCCTACTTCCTTAACCCATAAGGAATTGATAAGCCTTGAGCAAGCCCTTAAAAACTATCCAGAAAGCGCAGCGGAGCGGAGCGGAGAGGAGGGGGAGGGAGGGGGGCGTTCAAACTTTTTCGTGCGGGTGCTATTTCACCAGACGCTCATGAGAGGATTAATTAAGTTTCCTAAGATTTGTATTTCAGGAATGATACTTAAGAATTCTGAAGAATTCGAAAAAACTCTTGCAAACTAAACCCATTGTGGAAAATCCTTCAAATTTGACGTTTTTGGGCCCGAAAATCAAAGATTGAAGAATTGAAGATCCCTCAGAAAAGTTTCCCAAGGTCTTCGATTTGGGGACCCGAAAATTTCAAAGTAGAACTTTTTGGGCCCTAAACCGAAGATTGAAGAATTGAAGATTTCTCAGCATTCCCAGGATCTTCGATTTTGTGACCCGAAAACTAAAAACAATCTAAGTAGAATTTGCTGGGCCCCAAAACCGAAGATTGAAGAATTGAAGATCCCTCAGAAAAGTTTTCACAGGATCTTCGATTTGGGGACCCGAAGATTTGAAAATCTCACAAAAAAACTCAAGCTTGAAATTTTCCCCTCCTTAAACTGAAGATTCTATTCAATTCTTCAACCTCGGTTTTAGGGCCCCAAAATCTCAACTTTGAATTTTGCAGAAATTTTGCAATATTCGGGTCCCAAATCGAAGATCCTGGGAAAAACTTTCCGAGGGATCTTCAATTCTTCAATCTTCGGTTTTTGGGCCCAAAAAAATCAGTTTGAAACTCTGAAATTTTCATATCATGAGAGGACAAACATTGGGACCTCACGAGAAGCCCTTAACCCTGCGGCCCTCGTCTTGCCGAGCTCGACACCTACAGAAGAAGAAAAGCAAAGGAAAAGTATGGATCCATGGAGTGGGGTACCATATGTTCATATGTGTATATATATATAGAATACAATATGTGCATACACAATCGTCTCTTTAGACTTTAGGGCCTAGAAGTCTTTATCCGTGCCATGGACCTTTAGGGCCCTGGAAGCCCTTCGCTGGGCACATGCAAGGACCATCCTCTTGCTCCGGAGGTGTGACGGGTTGTCGAAGCCCTGGGTCTTCCTGCGGAAAGGGTTTCGGGTTTAGGGTTTAGGGCTAGGGGTTTATAGGGTATGGGGTTTAGGGTTTAGGGTTTGGGGCCTTCAGAGTTTTAGGGCTTCATGGCCATTTCAACACGAGTTGCACTACCGTACCGGAGACTGTATTTTCATGTCGCACCGAGGCAGGCATGATGTGAGAACACTGAACCCAATCGCCCCGGCTTGACCCTAATGAGCCTCAAGGACGTACCATATCCAAGATCTGACCATGTAGCATTATTAAATCTTGCCCTCGACCCCCTCAACCCTAAACCCTGCTCTTTTTTCGCCCGGCCAGGTTGCCCCCAAAAAGATTCATATGGCTTTATTAAGTAGCTAACCGCGCGGTAACTCCTTCAGGGTTGCCCCGGCAAGCCGTGAAGAGAATATGTAGACCCAAAATCTCTTCCCATGCGTCTGCATAGGCGACAAAGGTGGAGTTAGCGTGAGGAATATTCATCTCACTCACGTCACGCACACACCCACCAATAAGTTGCCCCGCAAGGGTTGCCCTGCGCCCGCCAGGATAGCCCTGTCAGGGTTGTGCACTCGCCAGGGTTGCCCCCTCTAGGTTGCCCTCTCCAACATTGAGAAAGTTCCCCGGCCACAGAATTTCCATACCCTCTGCCAGGGCTGCCCGCTAACCACTGCCAGTGCAGAGTGGTTAGTACGAGTTGCCGCATCAGGGTTGCCCACCAGGCCCCCCACCCTCCGAAGAGGCTGTTGGCGGTTCTTCGAGGAAGCCCCCTTGATAGGGGGGTTGGGGGGTAGACCGGCTAGACGAGTCTAAACCAGGAAAAGGTTTGACTCTGGTCGTTGCGGGCGGGTTCCACGGTACGGTGACGGTGCGTGCGACCCACGACCACTTCATGTGCGCCGTGGCACTAAACCCTAAACCCTGAACCCTGATCCCTCCTACAGCCTTGGACCCTCAAATGCCGCTTTTCTTGGCTGCAGTCTTTAGCGTTCGTGGGGGTACATACTGGGGATTGAAGAATCCCTAGTCCCCTTTATTCAAGTACCACTGACAGCCCAAGCTCCTGAACCTTAACTTGCAAACTCCAACCCCAGAAACCCAACAAGACTCTCAACCTCACAAGCTGGACACGGACCTCGGCAGTGTCTGTGCTCATGTCCGAGCACGCCCTGCCTCAGGGTCGCCTGTAGCAACGGGTTTGGGCTTTGGGGGGGCGGGGGGGGGGGGTCCAGAGTCAGGGCGACTCCAACCCGAGTGGCCATGTTGTTACTATGTCTGGCGCCCTCTCGGCTTCCAACAAAATCTCGCTGGACTGTACAAGAACCCAGCAGAAAGCAAAGGTCCCATTTAGACTTCCAAGTAAGGCTCTCCGTAGATGCTACGTGAAGCCCCTGAAACTTTGTTTCTGAGCGTGCAGCACTGCAGAAGAGGACAGGACTGGTTCTAAAGCCTCAAACCCCTCTTTGGGGTTAGGGTTGAGGGTTTAGGGTTTAGGGTTTAGGGTTTAGCCCATCTAAACCTGAATTCATGGAGGCCGCATGCGATTCGCCAGTCCTGGACGAGAGCGCAAGTGACATCCGGCAGGCGAAGCGAGATGCATTGCCAGCGCAAGCAGAGGTTTGGGGAGTGCTGGTATGTGAACTTCGGGGCTCAGGGACTTGTGATTTGCCGGGCTTCGGGTATGGGCTTGTGTTACATGTGGGCTTCATAAGGGCTGTGGCGTCAGCTCAAGGGCACTCAAGAAGTGCCCAGGCATCTGAGGTCCCAGACTGCAAAGGATCCGAGGGCTGTCGGCGTCTGACCGTGGTGAATGCATGGGAGCTGCATGCGCTGCAGCTATTTTTCTGAACCGAACGCGCGCAGGTCATGCTCCTTCACCACCTACATACCCCATTGCCCCCAGGGTCTTGCCCTGGATCTGAACCCGCATAATATAAACCCCGAACTGCCAGCGGAATCCGCGCCACACGCATGCCCAACACGGAAGTTCAGGCACCCAAAATGACCTTCCGATTTAAGCTCTTGAAGCCCCATGTCAGCTTGGCCTTGCCTGGGGAAGGGGGGGCCGGGCCGGGGGGTTGCATGACAAGCCTAAACCCTAAACCAGAAACCCTAAACCAGAAACCCTAAACCCCAAACCGTAACCAGGAATCCTGAATCCTAGATTGAAACGGAGGTGTGGTGGCAGCTGCCCGACCTTTAGGTAGTGTTGTGGCGCTTCATGGAAGCGTTCCACGATGAAGGCCTTGTCGTCCTCGCGTTGCGTGTGAAGGGTTCAGGGTTTCGGGTTTAGGGTTTAGGGTTTAGGCTTTGGGGACTCTGAACTGGGTTTTGGGCTTGAGCGATATCTTGCCCTCGCCTCCCTTCAGAGCCGCTGTCGTGGATCATTGGCAGGTGGACGAGCATATGTGTGCATAGATCTATATACGTATGAATATGTATGTTATGTATATATATATGTATATATGTATGTATGTATACAGTATGTGAAATTTTGAAAAGTACTTACAAATCAGTATATCATATACATGTATGTATGTATGTAATCATCCATATTCTGGGAACTTTCTTTTTGACGGCGTGCAAAACGCCGACCCAGCCCCTGAACAAAAACGGGACCCAAGGGTTGAACTGCGTGGCCCCCGAGTTCACATGAATTTCCCAGAGCCCTAAACCTAAACCCTAAACCCTAAACCCTAAACCCTAAACCCTAAACCCTAAACCCTAAACCCTAAACCCTAAACCCTAAACCCTAAACCCTCCCATTTTCCGACTCAACCCTGCAGGGGGAGCGGCTAAAGGTTGGATGTGCTGCAGCATGTCCCGCGGGATAGACTGCCTCTCCAAGTGAGAGTGGACTGAGGGCTTAACCTGGGACCTAATTTTCCTACAGTTTCAAGAGCTATACCTGCTAAAAAAATAGGGGTACTTACTGCTAAACCGTAGGTAAACAGGGTCCCAGGCAGTGTTTGTGGGGCACTTGGGGAATTAGGATGTGCAGTGCCCCTGAAACAGGGGGCCAGAAAGGGCTCGAACGAACATCATCTGCCGCAACCTATAGCACTGCAACTCGTCTGACGAAGACATACCAGGATGGGCTATTATACCCTATAATCCCTTAAAAGGCCCTTTATAGGGTTCATTATGGGGATTCTAAGGCCTAATAGCCCATCCTGGTAAGTCAACAGCAGGGGTGCCAAGCAGTTGGCGGGACCGGGCTCGTATGCTGGGGATGTTCAGATACACATATCAGTATAAGTTACGGTCAACAGACACCTTGAGATTTCCGCGGGTTTCATCTGACTCTCTCTAAAGGGACGGGTTAGGCATCAGGGTCAGCTGCGGGTGTCCAGGGATTCCGTCATTCAGTGGTCTCCGGCAACAATGCTTCATAGAACAGCTAGGCCTCTCAACGACTCGATCCTCAGAGTTTTGGCGCGGGATTGCTGGCACAATCCCTCGTACCAGAAAGGTAGTCCCCTAAAACCCCCAAACCCCAAACCCTAAACCCCAAACCCTAAACCCTAAACCCTAAACTTTAAACCCTGAACCCTAAACCCTAAACCCTAAACCCTGAACCCAAACCCGAGTCTCGGTCGATGCAAAGACTGAGCCCCAGCCTCTCCGCCCAATTCTTGGCATCCTCATGCTGTAGGGCACTAGCTTGGGCCTTTTTGGGGTCTTTAGCTTGGGTTTAGGGTTTAGGGTTTAGGGTTTAGGGTTTAGGGTTTGGGGTTTAGGGTTTAGGGTTCCCCTTATACCAACAGTCTTTCATGGGGATTATAATAGGGGGTACTGGTGAACTCCAAAAAAGGGGGAATGAGGGCTAGCACTCGAAGGGCTTGGCTGCAGCTTTGGTGTTTTTTGTGACACCGACAGCTCCGAGCAAGGAACGTGATCTGCGCAACTCATTTGCCTTGGCAGATGTTTGCTTTCTGGGGTGCCCAACGAGCCCTAAAATTCTCGCAGAAAAAGGGCACATGACTCCAATTTAGGGGTTCAGGTGGTACCCAAGGATGTGGCCCTTAAACCCTAAAACCTGAATCCTAAACCCCGGACTCTTAACCCAGTCCTGCATGCCGAAGGAAAGATGCCGGATTGAGTGGGAGACCTCGGTGGATTCAACCTGGGACCCTGACTGTGTACCTACGGTTTAGGGGTTAGGGTTTAGGGCTTAGGGCTTAGGGTTTAGGGTTTAGGGTGTAGTAAGTACCCCTGTTTGGCAGGTATAACCCTTAAAACTGTAGGTAAAGAGGGTCCCAGGAAGGCACGAGGTTGGCAGTCGGGGCTTGTAGGGTTCTGGAGTTCGCAGCGGAGACCATCCTTAAAACGTAGTAGCGCGTGCGCGAAGATGCACCAAAGGGTTGCTGGCAAAGATGCTTCCCTCGGGTTTCGGCATATGCTTTGTAGATTCTTGGCAAATCGCAGGCTTGAGAGCATACGAGGTTCACTCGCGGGCGTTTGGGTGGGGGATTCCGGTGCACGCAAATCCAGATGCTCGGTCGCAACACATGTCTGGGAGTCTGGGCCATTACTTCGGCGCCACTTCATGCTCTTGAGGTGGTGAAACTCAAAGCTTCTGAGGTTCATTTCCTTGTCTGCATGCTCAATGCTTAGAGCCAACTTTCGGAGTAAACACGTCAAACTGCTTCAACACACGTCCAAACACCGTGTCCCTGTGCCAGTGTTTCGAGCATCGAAGGGAAGACGTACAAGGCGCAAGGAGAAGTACGAATCCGCCAAACCCAAGCCGAAACATGCAGCCTGCGACAAAAAGACTCCGCCCCCCCCCCCTTTCGAGTTTAGCACGTGGGCTATTTTGAGTTCAGGAGATTCTGGCTCAAGGGTTTGAGGTAGTAAGCCTTACGGCGGAAAAAAGCAGGCGCCAGATCCGCGATTGCTAGCTGCTATTGCCGAACCCCTCAATCCTGGAAGCTAAATTCGCGGCCGATGCTTGCCCGAGTCAAGGCTAACCTTCAGCGACTCTGTAGGAATTGGACAACTCCGAAGAAGGTTCTGGGTTGGGGATGTTCCCGTTCTACTAACAGTCCTTAACAGGGATTATCATCGGGGCTACTTTAATTCCCTATTTAAGGACTGTTAGTACAAGGGGGGAACATCCCAAGTTGTATTTGCCGGCTCGGCTCGTCACTTTAGGTCCCGGGCATTCGTGAGCGCTGGGTTCACGTTCACGTCACCATGGGCTTCTGCCTGCGCATGAGAAGAACAAACAACTTGGCAAACGCGGACGCATTGCAGGGTCTAGGCAAAGATCTGACATTTCAGGGGAGAAATGCAGCTGCAGGAGCTCAAACATGTGCCACTGTTATCCCCCTTGCCGCACATCCCTAAAAACGATACCTATGAACAATCAGGGGTTTGGGAGGGGGGGGGGGTGTGCTGGCATAACAGTTCTATTTTGGTGTTCTCGAACTAGCTGCGCCATGAGACCTGAAACTCGACTTCTTCTGAATCGGGCCCTGCAGTCCTCAACCTTCTTAAAGAACTCCTGTCTTCAAAAGATAGAGATGGCTGCCCGGCGACCGTGCTTTATGCAGGGCTCATTGCAAGGCTCCCGCCGGTAGCAAGCTCTAAGCCCGAAACCCTGAACCCTAAACCCTAAACCCTAATCCCTTGCTTTCCCTCCTGTAGGCTGAAGTGGCCCGGCACTCGGGCCACGTAGAGCTTGCCCTGGACCTGCCAAGGCTTTTTTTTTCAGGCTTACCAGGGCTGAGCAGGGCTCACATGGCTTATGGGCTTGTAAGAATCTCAAGATTGCACATCAAGATCTTGGTAGCCCAGTAACCATATTGTACTAAGGGTACCCTTCTGGGAGTTGGCTGCTTTATAAGGGAACCTTGAGCAAAGAAAAAGGCAAACTGGTACCGCTGGGCCACCAAGACATGTTGGCTTGCTGCGCGTTAGACCATCAACGAGCTGGTGGAGCTGGGCAAAGGCCTATCACATGCCGTGATTTAGCCTACTAGGAGGCTCGTGGATAGTCCTAATATGGTAACTGTACATATAACCCTACTCCCACAACCGCAACACGCTCCAGGAATAGGCCGAAGTTGGCAGGGGGGGAAACCTGGCGGAACTCAAAACACCGCAAAACCTCGCATCTTGCACCACTCAACGAGGGCTTAGTTCTTGGCCAAAAAGAAAACGTACAAACTTGATACATTCACAAAGGGCCACGAGAACACGAGAACACCGGACCTGGCAGCCCTGCTCGAACATGGCATGGTGCTGCGCAATCATGAGGTGGCTATTCCTGCACAAGATCGCCAGTTTGGAGGGTTAAGGGTTGATCGTGCGAACGGTTGAGCATTCCAGGCAACTGTGGCCGATTCTTAATTTCCAAAAATGGGCTGGCGGGCCCTTTATGGGGGTGGGGGGGAGTTCTATATATAAGATCAAGATTAAACGGTGTCGGGTATGTCAGTGGCACCCCTATTTTGGGGAAATGCCCATCCCATATGTTGCAGGTTCCAGGCTGAGCAGCCCAACCTGAAAGAGGAACCAAAAACACTTTGCCTTGAAGATGGCACACCGGGCGGCGTTGGAATTTCCCAGCGGTCATCAAGATAAGGTTTGTTACCCTAAACCCTATAAACCCTAAACCCTAAACCCTAAACGCTGAACTCAAAACTGCACGAGGGGCTTCGAGCTGCGTGGCCTGGGAGTTGCCCTCTCCGAATGCTTTGGTGAGTCATTCAAAAGAAATGTCAAGAAGAAGGCGGCCTGATTGTGTTCGTCAGGAACTCGATGATGTTCTCGACCTTGGGCGCATCTATCCGATAGCTCCGCCGAAAGGCTGCCCTGTGCTCCATGGTTGCAAATTTAAGGTTTAAGGTTTAGGGTTTAGGGTTTAGGGTTTGCGATATTAGGGGTACCTCTTTGGGGTCCTTATTCGATGGGGAGCCTGTTATTTGGGGGTTCTAGTCGGGGTCCCTCATCGTAGACCCTCATTTAGGGCTCACGTCATGGAGCTGAAAGGGTTTAGGGCTTTTGGGTCTGTATAGGAGTTTGCGTCCCAATGGGGAGTTTAACTTAGGACCCAAGAAGACCTTAGGCCCTAATTAACCAGTCCCTGTCCTCAAACCTTGGCAAACTGTCGGGTAGTGTTCGCCTCGGCTTCCTGCCGAGACGCGTCTGGCACAAGCAGACCCGGATCGGGCCTCCTTCCCCCAAACCCATCCCCCCATGCCCCCACTCTGTCGCCCCCCCCCCATCGCTTGGACCACCCCCCCCCCAACCCCCCCACCACCCCCCCTACCCCCCCCCAACCCCACTTCGCCTGGACCTCAAACACCCTTGACCGCCCTTGACCCTTTAACCTGGACCCTTCCTCCCCTTTTTTGCAGACACCCTCTTACCTCCTTTCCTGTTCTTCCTTTTTTGTTCTGGGGTGGCGCGGCTGCCGAGGCGGCGTGCGCAAGCGTTTACAATTAGAAGCTTTGGTTTGTAGTGTTTGAGGCAGCCTGCCAGTCGAGCCATATCTAGCCCAAACCTCCGCAACTATAACTCGCGCCTCTGACACGACAAGGAACTAGCATCACGCTTCGTTACGCCCCAGGTCATGAAACCCAAGCCGCGAAGCCCTGACCACCCTAAATACCCATCACCCTCAATACCCCGAAGCCCCAAACCCCAGAAAGCAGAGCAATGCTCGTCAAGGTTCGCTTCTCTTGTTCTGAAACTGCTCGAAAGTCCTCGGCGGGGTTTCTAGAGCCTCAAACACCAGGAAGTGGCCATCCCAAGCTTCTCAGGTCCCTGCTAAAGGATTTAGGGTTTAGGGTTTAGGGTTTAGGGCTAAGGGTTTAGGGTTGAGGGTTTAGGGTTTAGGGCTTAGGGTTCAGGGTTCAGGGCTTGGGCTTAGGGTTTCAAGCTTCGCGTCGCAGGGCCACGGCCTACTCAGTTATTCACCTCCAATGACCCGCTCCAGGCATTGTCTGGCCCCCTCCCCCTCTGCACCCCGCCCTGCCCTGCACTTCCCCCGCCCCCCCCTCTCCCCCCACAAAAACCCCTTCCCCGGCCTCCCCCAACTTTCTGCCGAACTTTCTTCCCTTCAACTAAAAACCATGAAGCCTGTCGTGCCGACCTTTGCGTTAAAATTTAACCCTTAAGCTCTATCTGTTCTGCAGGTGCGGCCGTCGGCTTCCTCTGCGTCAGGCAAAGCGATGGCGATGACCCCATTTAGCCGTAAAGTACAGGAGCCTTCACATAATTGAGAACCTCCAAGGACGAAGCTACAATATGTCCTACCCTTCAAATGCACACCGGGTTCCCTGACTGCTACCTATACACACACGGAAAACCCTGTTCATGGTCCCTTGCCCCCCCCAGGCTGACGAGCGACGCATCTCGTTTGTAGAGGCGAATGGTCGGAAAGGCCTGAATTCGCTCCTGCCGAGGTTTCGGGCGAGAATCTCGGGCTTAGGTCAGAGGAGCGGTCGACCAAGAACATTCCTTCAAACCCGAGCTCAACTTTGGATGCAGATCTGACAGCCCCCTCACCATGGCTCCGCCCTAGCAAAACCGATAAAAAAACAATGCGGGCCCGAAAGCTACGGTACGGAGCAGTTTTGAAGTATGAAACCTCCCAAGCCTGCCTCCTGGCACTTCCCCTGGAAATCCACGCAGTTCATCTTCAGGAACTTGACGGTCGTCTGGCAGGTTGCATAGGAGCCCCACGGATAGGTTCATAGGGTTAAGGGGGCTAGGGGATACGGTTTAGGGGGGTCAGTTGGGGCTTTAGGGTTTCGGCTTCGGGTTTGTTTACGGCAGCTGTTGCGCAGCAGCTGCAGAAGCATGATGAATCCTCGGGCTAGCGTGTCGGTAGTGGCTTCCGTGTGTTTGCTTGCTTGCTTGCTTGCTTGCTTGCTTGTTTTCTTGCTTGTTTGCTTGGTTGTTTGTTTGTTTGTTTGATTGTTTGTTTGTTTGTTTGTTTGTTTGTTTGTTTGGTGTTTGTTTGCTTGTTTGTTTGTTTGCTTGCTTGCTTGCTTGGTTGTTTGTTTGTTTGTTTGCTTGTGTGTTTGTGTGTTTGTGTGTTTGTGTGTTTGTGTGTTTGTGTGTTTGTGTGTTTGTCCGTTTGTGTGTTTGTGTTTGGGTTTGTGTTTGTTGTGCTTGTTCGTCTGGGCTTGCGTTTGTTTAATTGTTGTTTTGCTTGCTAGTTTGTTTGTTTGCTTAATTTCTTTGCTTGCTTGTGTGCATGTGCTTCTGTTCGTGCTTGCGCTCATGTTTTTTGCAATTGTGTTTGTGTTTGTGTGTGTGTGTTGTGTGATGTGTGTGATGTGTGTGATGTGTGTGATGTGTGCGATGTGTGTGATGTGTGTGATGTGTGTGATGTGTGTGATGTGTGTGATGTGTGTGATGTGTTTGTGTGTGTGCGCGCGCGTGCGTGCGATTAACATGTGTGTGACTTGCATGCCACACCCCTTCTCTTCTCATGGAACAGCAGTGAGTGCTACAGACGTTCTACTCTGCGATGAAAAGTTGGCTTAGCATGCTCGGCAGATGTACGGCGCATGACTGCTCCCATGGGTGTGCTGATTGAGTGTGCATGCATGGATTCGGGCACATCCGTCGCGCGAGGCGTAAGACTCAACCCGAAATCCTAAACCCTATAAAACCTAAGCCTTAAGCCCTAAACCCCAACCCGTAGATTGAAAACGCGACTTCGGCGTTTGCCCTACTTCCATACTATGTAACTGTACTTGCTGGTTCTTCGCGTCGGGAACGAGGGAATGACGTACCCTATATCCCCCTATATACCTTCAAGGGGTTTTATAGGGTACCTGATTGCCCCACTCCCTACTCAGAACCAGGGGGGTGCAGTGTATAGGGTAGTCCTTGCTATGAATTAAGGGTCTATCTGCTAAGGGGTTTGGGGCATTTCCCAAAATAGCCCCTTTTATGCCCCAAATAGAAAAGCCTCTTGCAGGGACCCCAAAAACGGCACCTCTATTTTCGGAAACCCCATATCCGGCCCTGAAAGAAGCCCTTGGTGCCGCCTCTTTGCCGTCGGCGTCCTTGAACTGCATTTTCTCACCTATCCTGCCATTCAGAGGAATTTGGGGTGTTTGCGGCTTCGCCCTAAACCCTAAACCCTAAACCCTAAACCCTAAACCCTAAACCCTAAACCCTAAACCCTAAACCCTAAACCCTAAACCCTAAACCCTAAACTGCCCTAAAACCTAAACCCTAAACCCTAAATTGCGGGGATTTGGCGGTTTGGATTTCCAGGGCTCAGACTGCTCGGATGGAGCCATCAAAGCCCGAAAGCAAGCGGGCTATTTGCGAATTTTAGGGTTATTTAGGGTACTTAGGGCTACTGAGCGGGTCTTAGGGATATTTAGGGCGATTTAAGGGTATTTAGGGCTACTGTTGGGGTTCAGGATCATTTAGGGCTTTTTAGGGCTACCTAGGAATCAAAAGGGTGCCCTTTTTGGTTTCAAAGGCTCAAGAAGGGAACCTGGACCCTAAAGAAAGTGAAATAGGGGCCTACTCTTGGCACAACCGCGCATAGCCCCAATCGCGAAACCCCGTCGACCAGAATGAATCTGTCGTCGGCGGATGACGTGGGGAGGGGGGGGTGGGAGGGAACCCTAAACCCTAAATCCGAAATCCGACACTTTACAGGCAATGAGCCCCCCCAAGAACACTTGGCCTGCCCGCAGCTTCATTCCACATGGGCGCAAACTTCCGGCCTTTCTCGAGGCGTAGGGTGGATGGGGGTCATAGGGCTTCATGTTTAGGGAGTCAGGGGTTGCAGGGTCGAAGGCTGCAAGGGGACTTTTCTTTTGTTTGCAGGCTCAACTGCCAAGGCTCAGGAAAGCCTGGGGCTGAAGGGCTTGGCGTTGTGAAGGAAGGGGTTCTTTGAGGTCCGGGCAGTGCACGCACCACTCAGCAAAGAAGTTCACCTGCGCCGGGGAGGCTTATAGGGCTTAGCATGGAGCTTCGCTGGCCGAAGAACATGCAAGTTCCTGCGAGCTTCGACGGACCCCTAAACTCCTGACTATGATCCTCTTAAATCGAATCAGGGAAATCTAGCATGTGCCTGGGGCCTACCTAGGGCAGCGAAGCCACAGCAACACCTCGCCCTGCGAGGCTTGGTTTTGCGTTTCATGTGGTGGCCAGCACTTGTGGCTGGTGTTCGAGGCGCAGATCGTCCCAGGCCTCAGGGCGTATGATTTCGTGGCTCTTAGCTTGAAGTGGCTCTTGGGCTCGGGCAGAGAGTTTAGCGTCCGCATGCAAACTTTAGCTCCCACGCGGTCAGGTCAGCTCTGTACTCAGGTCCCTCGATGACTTGGGCATTCCCTTTTCAACCGCTGCTCATACTGTGATTCAGGAACTGAACATATGAGTGAACGCCCTCAAACCCAAAACCATGAACACCCCGAAGCTTAAAGCCTACACCCCAAAGCAGAATCAAGTCTCGGGACCAGGCTAGCAACTCCAAGCCAACGCCCTGGCCGCCAGGTTGCGGCTGTCAGCGTCTTTTGTGGGGGTCCGGGAACCTCTCAAATCCCCGAAAGTTCAATGCTCAGTTTTTCAAGGTGGACCCCGGATATTGCAATATAAGGGGGGGGGGGGGGGGGGGGGGGGGGTTAGCCCTAGAAAGCCTGAAGCATGAACTCTGATGAGATTTCCCCCACACTCCAAAGCTGACGTGGCTTCTTCCGTTTCTGAAGAAACTCGATCGTGCGATGAAACGCGCAGACGGATGAAACGCGAGCGGGGCACTGCTAAATAAACCTGGATTTGTGCCGGCGTCTGAAAACCATGAACAAACTCGGAGGCCATCCAACATGGATGCAGCTACTGTAGGCCCCTAACCTTAAACCCCCAAGACTTCTTATATGAGAACTCATGCGGTCTAGTCCTAGAGGTTGGCAATCCAGGAGGCTTTTTGGCACTGGACCACTTCACTCTGGATCTCTTAACAGTACAGAGTTCCGATAGCCGGTGTGGCCTCAGCTCTACACCCTAAAACCTTCGACCATCACTCGACTTGTGGGGCTCCCTTTCAACCCAACACTGACTAACAAACCTCTGCGGCCGGCTTAAGGCTTCGATGGGTTCAGGGTTCAAGATGCAGCCAACACCCAACTCCACTCTAAGACTCTTAGACTCTAAGACTCTTTAAGACTCTGGGACCCTAGGACTCTTTAACAAGACTTTTTAAGACTCTTTAAGACCCTGAGACTCTTCAAGGTTTGAAGACTCTAGGCCCCGACCAGAAGACTCTCACTGGCCTCAGGCCCGACCCATGCACAGAGTGCCGTTCCCGACGCGGACACACCCAACCTTCGGTGGTTTCTTTCGTGTTGCAAGGTCAAGGGCATGTACGCCTACATCGCTTCATGACACACAGGCCCAGAATCCCAAACCCAAGAAACTCTCAGCGCCCAGCGCGGTGTAGCCGGCAGCTCCGATTTTGGTGCTGCGACGCTCAAGCAGAACCTGTCGGGGGCCCCATCATGGGGCAGGTTGTAGGGGGCTTTCGTGGGCATGTGCCCTGCAACCCCCCTCGAAGAGCATGCAAACCCTAATCCCTAAACCCGAAACCATACACCCCAAACCCCCTCAACCCTAAACCCTAAACCCTAAACCCCCTAAAACTTTCAGAGCCCTACGAGAGCTCTCCACAGGCACCTTGGGCGCCGGAAGGGACACGGCTCGGATATGGCCATCCTCAGCTCGCTATCAGCTCGCGGGTTTTGGGAGCTTAGGGTTTAGGGTTTAGGGTTTAGGGTTTAGGGTTTAGGGTTCAGCATCTCAAGTCCGAGCATTTACTAGTCAAGCAGCTTGTCAAGCGTTGGAATAAAACCCCACCCACCCAAGAAACCCATAACCTTGAGAAAATACAAAGTTCACTCAATACATTCCCAGTAGGCTTAAAGCTCAAGGTCCAGTTAAACCAAAACCCGAAATCTAACTCTCAAACCTCCTCACTTGACGGATGGGTGAAAAAACAATATGCCGACGAAGGGCGTCAGGGTTTAGGGCCCACCAGGGGGAAAAAAAACAATATGCCGACGAAGGGCATTAGGGTTTAAATATACATAGTAAGAGAGGGTTTAGGGTTTAGGGTTTAGGGTTCAGCGGGATTGCGGGGTGGTGGTGGGTAAAAAACCCTGGGCCCCAAACTTCTTCCGAACACCTACGAGTCCAGGATATCCCGACGACCGTACTAGGGCATGGGACCATGACATGGTCGGCTTTCTGAGCGATGCCACCCTTGTGGGACCTGTTTGAAGAAGGCCCGAAGGCGCGAAATACTCAGGGTTGCCCAACAGGAGGCAAGAAAATAGAGAGCTGGCCATGTGATGATATTTGAAAAGCCACCCGTCCTCAGCCCAAGTCCTAAGTTTGAGCAAGCTTTGACACGTTCACGTCGTTCTCTGTGCTTCAACAAGACGACCTTCCAGAAGTTCAGCCATGATTCCTCACTCTAAGCACAACGGTTACATTCGGGAAAGAGTGAAAAAAACAGAGAACATTCCACATTAGTCGAAACAACTATGCTGAAGTTCGCTCTTCGAATGCAACTGCAAAATGTTCATCATTCCCTTGCAAAGATCCTCAAAGAAGACCGACAAAGAAGACAATAAGAAACAAAGACTGCATCTAGCACATTGTAGAAAGCCACTGTCAATAGGCCACGAGAAGCTGCAAGATATTTGCCCGAAATTAGCTTAAACCCTCGACTGATGAGGGGTTAGGGCTTAGCGGCGAGGGTTTTAGGGGTTAGAGGTTTACTTGGAGGTTCACGGTACTTATTAACCAATTCTGACTGTAGTTATAAGCCACTTATAAGCCCCTTAAGTGCCCTAATATTGTTCTAGGTACAGTTATAAGTACAGTTACCCTAAACCCTAAACCCTGAACCCTAAACCCTAAACCCCAATATGGTTGTAAGTACAGTTCTAGGGCCTATAGGGGCCATCCGAGGCGGAAGCCTTGCTGGCTGTCAGGCAGCGATCGCCACTCACCTGACGCAGCGCCTCCACAGGGATTCCCGGATTGGCATGTGATATGGGGGTTTAGGGTTTAGGGTTTAGGGTTTAGGGTTTAGGGTTTAGGGTTTTAAGGTTAGGGGGCCTCAATAGAACAGGGCGTTGGGGCCTATTCTAGTTTTCATTATAAAGGGACCCTAAGGGCACACGATTAGTATTTCTTCCGACCCCGATCTTACAGACCGCGAGTTGTGCTGCCCTTTTTAAGGGATAACGTGGCTTTGTCACTATGAGCCATAGAACCAGCTCTCGCCAACGGCATCGACCTAGGATGCCCCTTTTCAACCCTCTGAAAAATATTCCTGAATTTGATCCTCTTGAACCCCCAGTAAGGGAAAATATAAGATGACCCAAAGGGCCTACCGAGCTACAATCGGTGAGTTTGTGCATTGGGGGGTTTCGAGCCTCGGGCTTGGCGTTCTTTGCGGGCGTCAGTGGTGCTGGGGCTTGAAATGTCGTTTTTGGGCACATGTCTTCGTAGATAGCTGAGAGAGGCATGGTATTCATCAGCAGGACACTCCTTCCGAGCCAGCTGGGCTTTCGGAAAGAGACCCTAAACCCTAAACCCTAAACCCTGAACCCTAAACCCTAAACCCTAAACCCTAAGGGGTATCAGGCTCTGAGTTCAGGTTGGCCCTCACATGGCCCTGATGATGAGCTCCGTGGAGGGTTTCGGCACTTGGGATTACAGTCCTTACATCTGCCACTTCCATGGGTTTCTTTCCCCAAATGGGGGTACCCTTTCTGGGGTTCGTATATAATAAGGGTTTCAGTTGTTTTTTTTGTTGGTGGGGGGGGGGGGGTATATAAGGTACGAGCAGATAACACATGTAATGGTGAACTCGGAGGCACCACCCTGAAACGCAACCTGCTCTTATTTTGCAATCGCAGCCCTAACGCCTTATAGGCAGTTCCCTACCCTTGATAGAAGGGGCCATATGGGGGGTTTCCGAAATTAGGGTACCTTAATTATTGGGATCCTTGTTACAAGGGAGCCCTGCTATTGTTGGGGGGATCCTGGGGGTCCGCTATTTTCGTAGCACCTTAAACCCTAAACCCTAAACCCTAAACCCTAGACCCTAGACCCTAGACCCTAGACCCTAAACCCTAAACCCTAAACCCTAAACCCAAAACCCAAAACCCTAAACCCATAACAGGGACCCGGAAGATGCTGCATGGTGCATGGGCACAAGGGAGCCTCGATCGTCTGGTCAGCACAAGGGAGCGAGTGCAGCTCGCTCAGCGAAGCTGGCCAAGGCAGGTCCGAGGTTTGCTCGCCAATAAGCTTAGGGTTTGAGGGTTTTAGGGTTTTAGGGCTTAGGGCTTAGGGCTTAGGGCTTAGGGCTTAGGGCTTAGGGCTTAGGGCTTAGGGTTTAGGGTAAAAACCTTAAGCCCTATACTTTGCTGGGGTGGAGGCTTTATTTGCTTCAGGTTCCCGCCTGATTCGGCGGGGGGGGGGGGGGGGGGGGGGGGGATGAGCAACTCATGTTGCTGGCGATGCTCTTTCCCATTGGAGGTGGTGGGCTGTGGGCCGTGATTAAGCTATGTTAGCGAAATCGTCGGCATGGGCAAGTCAAGAGCTCCACTACAGGGCCCCACGTTTTCTTTCGCGCAACTCTTCGAGATCGCTCAGATAGAAGCTCTAGAAGCCGGGAAAAGCGGAAGCAAGCGCGCAATGCTGGCAAACATGTCGGGAAATCTCCGTCGACTGTGTCAATAGCACACAATAGCGGCTCGAAGACAACTATTTTATGCTATTAGGGCCCTAAACCCTAAACCCTACATCCTTTTAGGGCGTGAGCTCGAGGGTTTTGTGCCCCACTGGAGCAGCTTACACGCCAGCCCAACACCGCAATGTCGTCAATATTGACACAGGCGCGTCTGAAATGGACAAGCCATTTAACTGTAACTGTAACCAAAAACCCGAATCCACAGTGTCCTCCGAAAAGAACCTGAGGCAAGCTGCCTTCTATGTGTCTATTTTAGGTTCCTTAGTAACCCGAGAATAGAGACGGTGCCCGTTCGGTTTACTGGGGTTCATACCAGAACCCAACCCCAAGAAAGGACATACTAGCACCATCTATGAGCGTAAACTCCATGAGAGCCCTAAGCAGGCCTGACCATTCCACAGCTTAGGGTTTATGAGCCGGTCCCTACATGTTGCCGAAGACCATACACGCTGCCGTGAACACCTGAACCCAACCATACCTCTGAAAACACTCAACACATGGGGGTTTACGAAAATCAGGGACCTCCAATATAGACCCCCAATTAGTAGGATCTCCTTATTTGAAAAGGACCCCAATAACGTACCCGTAGTTTCGGAAACCCCATATGGCAGAACCAATTCAGTTGGTTGGCTTGCCCGGGCACTGGCCTCTCATAAAAAGGTCCCGGCGTGCCCGAGAAAACATGGAAAAACATGTCAAGCAACATGCGCGCGAAAACAGATTTCGCTTAGGTCCCTTGGGGGGCGTGCTGCGAAAGGCACCCAAGTTTATTCAAGTGATTCTCAGTGACGAGTCTCGCCTCCTCAGCTAGTGAAGCCCTACCCGTCTACGTCCCAACTTCCGCGGTGCCAACTTTGAAATAAGCCTGATCTCCCCAAACCAGGTGTCCCAAACCACAAAGATGCAAAGCGGAAACCCGAAAGCCCTGCAGAGTCGCTCTGAACTACTCACTGGGTTTGGACTTAGGTGCATTTATGGTGTGGTTTCGGGCTTCACGCAGGACAACTCTTGATAGTCTTTTTTGAAGGTGGGCTGAGTATTGACCGCAGTCATTGGCAGAATCGCCAGGCAGACTCAAGGCTACCAGGGAACATGTAGCATGCTGTGTTAAGTTGTTTTTTGGTACCTGGCACGTCTTTTGACCAAGTGGCACAGGCAACTCTGTGTCCAGGACCTACATAACTACAACTTTTGTTTGGTTCCTCGGGCAGTGTTCTGCGCTTGGGGAGCGCAAACAACCGAGGTGTCTCAAGTTTCGGGCTTGTGTTGGCGAATGTTCGGATGTAAGACAATATACATACATACGATGATACATTATGATCTTAAATTTGTGTTGAATTGTGAATTGCTCATTCCTTGATGTACTTCTTTCGAAGGCAGCTATCCCACCTTTTCAGGAAGACGCAGTGCAGGTGATGGAACAACTTAACTCGGCGGCGGCAACTGCTGCAAACAGGCCAGTCTGCGCCTTTGAGTGAGATGTGGGCCCTGAACCCTGAACCCTGAACCCTGAACCCTAAACCCTAAACCCCAGACCCTGAACCCTAACCCCTAAACCCTAAACCCTAACCCTAAACCCTAACCCTAAACCCCACAAAGAAAGCTTTAGAGTCATTCGGCACCAGCGGCACAATGCGCCAGTGAGGAAAAGCAGTGCACTGTAGCCGCCACTGAAGCAACGGCCAGGGCTGGTATACGATTTGCTGAAGACATCCCTATGTTACCCTTATCAGGATATAAGACATGACATGATGGTCTTCAATTCTACCACAGCCCTTCGACCGTGTTGCAGGAAATTCGGCCACAGTGCCTCGCGAAGAACGAATGCCAATGCAACCAAAAACATGAACCCTTCCAAAAGGCTTGCATGAGTCCAACGTCTTGGCGGCAGAAAGCACCAGCTGCAGCCTCTGGCCAACAGCAGTGATCACTGCCTTGCCTCGTGGAACGATGATTCTCATGCACCCGGCGTATGGAAGACTCACAAGCTGCGTTTCCCAAAAAAAACAACAACCATTTCACTCTAAAGGGGCCTTACCCGAAAATCCTCATACTGACTGGAAGCAGCAGATGCACTGGTCTCTAGTTTAGGAGCGAGGCGCTCATGACTTTCTTAGTGCCCTTGATTGTCTGCAGGACACTACAGGGAAATGATCACATTCTGGCCACGTCTGGCCGAAGCGCCCGCCTGTCACAAGGCTTCCAGCCGAGAGGTGGGCAAGAGGCTGTTTGTGCTAGAACATGCTCGAAGGATACTGTAGGAGCCTTAAAAATTAGAGCAGGGTGTTCGAGGTTACTATGGTATAATTATAAACGGACCATACGGTAATTAGTCCGACCCCTATATTGGGTCATGTTGTCCCTTCTGATGCCAACCCCCCCCCCCCCCCCCCCCCCCCGATCAGCTCAGAAATTTCGGGCAGCATCCAGAAGACATCGCAGAACTACTAATTTGCTTAAGCACCCTAGAAAGTGAAGGATACCAATCCGCATTGTGTCATATAAGGAAGAGTTTTTTTTGTGGGTGGGAGTTCTGAATTAAGCAAACTGTGCAGAAGGCATGAAATTTGGCGTTGCAGCAGGCACCAAATCGCCGTCTCCCCTCTGTCCTGTGCTCATGTTGTGCACAAAAGTGCGGTCTTGGCCCGGTGCACTGTTTAAGCCCCAGTTCTACACCCTGGCCCTTAAAACGGGATAAATCCTGACGCCTTCGTGTGCATCTTCATAATTCAGGATGCTACACACCGTTTGGGGTCGATGCTAGCATCATCCTTGTATCTTTGTATGTCAGGTATGTCAGCAGACCTATGCTGGCCTTCATATCCCGCAAGCACCCGAAGTTGCCAGCACCCACCCCCCCAACCCCCCAGTTTGCGCAATTGCCTGAGCACTACTTCAGTGTGAAGTACCCGCATAGACTCTGGACCTGAACCCTCACATAAGGCCTTGGTTGTCAATGCACTCTCTTCCCCGTTCGCAAGAGACGTCTCCTCGCAGCGTTTGGGGTATCAGGGGTCCTGGAGCTAAGAATTCAAGAAGGGCAGAATTTAGGGTTGGGGTTTAAGGTTCAGGGCTCAGGGTGAAGGCATGCAGAGGTTCCCAAGCAAAGGGCTGCGGGGGAAGCCCTTTGTGTATCAACCCCCACCCCCCCCCCCCCATTTCCCCTGAAGCGCCTCATCTACACCTGTCGGCCTATTGGGCTCAAACCCCCTGTTGACCTTATTGCCGGCATGCTCCCAGGAGTCCCCTGAACAACCCCGCTCCCAAAAACCCTATAAACTCCATGTATAAGCCCCACAAACCCTCATTTCTATCCGGCAGAAGGCCAGGGTTATGTTGTCCGCCGGTCACAGCGCTAGGACCGTCTCCGAGCATCGCATGCATAAACCCAGGGTTTAGGGTTTGGGGTTTGGGGTTTAGGGTTTGGGGTTGGTTTGGGATGGACTGAAATGCTTGACCGGGCCTGCGTCCGACGGTTCAACTCCGGCGGGTCACAAGTGTGTGCCCGCCCACCACGCCTGGCGAACTTGTCTACTCAGGCTCCAGGGTTAAGTTCAGCGTTTAGGGTTTAGGGTCTAAGGTGTAGGGGTAGGGTTGAAAGTTGAGGATCTAGTTGAAAGGCACCCAAGTGCCCCAGAAGCCACACATGCCCGCCCATCAAGGTACCCCAGGGTACTTCGGGGGTTCAGGGAGAGTAGGCTGTCGTAACTCACAGCCCTCTGATGATGTGATCCCAGGCCTGCCGTGACTCACAAGAGCTCACGATCCGAAATTCGTTGCACACGGAGCCGAAAGAAGAAAGCTCCTTGATTAATGCCCTTGTCACGAGAGACCGAAACGAGGCTGCTACCCTGACCCCTGTTTGAAGAGCCTAGCTGAACATCGTTCTTCGACATAATAAGAATTTATATATGTACTCATATGTACATACATACATACATACATACATACATACATACATACATACATACATACATACATACATACATACATACATACATACATACATACATATATATATGTATATATATATCTTTTACATACTACCACAGCATTTCAAGCAGCGCAGGGTTCAGGGTTTGGGGCTTAGTTTAGGGCTTCAAGGGGTGGAGCTGTTGTGCGCTCTCAAGTCTAGCTGTGAGCAGGCGCAGCCTACGACGATAGAGGCGCTCGAACTGGTGAATCTCCACTTTGTTGAAGGTGACCTGGTCGCAAGCAACGTGGAAGCAGTTGCTGGCTTCGACTGGAGCTAGAAGCCTCATGTGCTGATGGTATGCTGATTCCGGGATGCCAACCCGTAAACCCTAAACCCTAAACCCGTAACCCGTAAACCCAAACCTTCCAAAGAAAATCTTATCCAGGTTGCTGTTCTCTGACTTCAACTTCCCGGTCGCGGTCAAGGTCTTCATTCCCCCGAACTCAGCCCCAACACCAGGCCAGACCTAAAACCAACAAAGACGAACCTGATCCCTAAACCCTAAACCCTAAACCCTAAACCCTAAACCCTAAACACATCTC